CCTTTGGTTTATGTCTCATTTCTACCACTTAACTATATGACTTCAGGCAAGTTACTTAACCTCTTTAAGCCTGAGATTCTCGTTGAAGAAAGAGTATAGATAAACCATAGTGGGGTGCCTGGGTGGCTCATTTGGTTAAGCATCTGACTCTTGATTTCAGGTCAGGTTATGATCTCAGGGTCTTGAGGTCAAGCCCCATGTCAGACTCTGCACTCAGTGAGGAGTCTGCTTCTCTTCCTCTTCCCTCTGCCCCTCCCCCCTCTCGTGCGCGGGTACGTGCTCTCTCTCAAATAAGAATAAATAAATCTTTAAAAAAAAAAAAAGATAAGCCAGTAGTATCATCATCAGAGTATCACGAGCACTAATTACATACATGTAAAGCACCTCAGCACACTGCCTGCATAGGCGAATAAATGAAGAATCCTTGAATAACTTCCAGGCTTCTTGAGATCTCATAAAGTAGGGCTTGGCAGATTTACTTTGTAAAGGAACGGACAGTAAATACTTTAGTCTTTGTCAACCATGTTTTGTCTCTGTACATATTCTGTTTTGTTTGGGTTCTGCTTTTTACAACCATTTAAAAATGTAAAAAACATTCCTTTTTTTTTTTTAAGATTTTATTTGAGAGAGAGAGTGAGCACAAGCACGGGGGTGGGGTGGGGGGAGGAGGGAGGGTTGCAGAGGAAGATGGAAAAGCAGGGAGCCGAACTTGAGCCTCAGTCCCTGGACTCCAGGATCGTGACCTGAGCCAAAGACAGCCGCCTCATAAAGCCATTTTTTTAAAGATTTTATTTATTTGTCAGAGAGAGAGAGCACAAGCAGGGAAAACAGCAGGTAGAGGGAGAAGCAGGCTCCCCGCTGAGCAAGGAGCCCAATGTGGGACTCAGTCCCAGGACCCTGGGATCATGACCTCAGCCAAAGGCAGATGCTTAACTGACTGAGCCATCCAGGTGTCCCGCATAAAAGCCGTTCTTAACTCACAGGCTGCAGGCCCAGTTTGGCCCCTAGGCTGTAGTTAGCCAGTCCCTGTACACAGCACCACTAGAGTTATCAAAAACTAAGTTTTTACCTTTTTTTTTAATTTAAATTTTACTTAGTGAACATACAGTGCAATATTGGTTTCAGGAGTAGAATTCAGTGATTCATCACTTACAACACCCAGTGCTCATCACAAGTGTCCTCTTTAATACGTATCACTGATCTAGCCCATTTCCCTCCATCAACTCTCAGTTTGTACTGTATCCTTAAGAGCCTCATATGGCTTGTTTCCCTTTCTCCTTTTTTAATTTTCCCTGTTTCCATATGTTCATTTGTTTTCTTTCTTAAATTTCACATATGAGTGAAATAATTTGGTATTTTGTCTTTTTCTGACTGACTTATTTCACTTAACATAATACACTCTAGTTCCATCCATGTCTTTGCAAATGGCAAGATTCATTTTTTTGATGGCTGAGTTATATTCCATTGCGTATATACACACCACATCTTCTTTATCCATTCAGCTTTTGATGGACGTCTGGGCTCTTTCCATGGTTTGGCTATTATGGGCATTGCTGCTGTAAACATTGGGGTGCAGGTGCCCTTTCGGATCACTGCATTTGTATCTTTGGGGTAAATGCCCAGTAGTGCAATTGCTGGGTCATAGGGTAGATCTATTTTTAACTTTTTGAGGAACCTCCATACTGTTTTCCAGAGTGGTTGCACCAGTTTACATTCCCACCAACAGTGTAAAGGGTTCCCCTTTCTGTGCATCCTCGCCAACACCTGTTGTTTCTTGTGTTGTTAATTTTAGCCATTCTTGCAGGTGTGAGGTGGTGTCTGATTGTGGTTTTGATTTGTATTTCTCTGATGGTGAGTGATGTTGAGCATCCTTTCGTGTGTCTGTTAGCCATCTGGATGTCTTCTTTGGAAAAGTGTCTATTCATGTCTTCTGCCCATTTCATTACTGGATTATTTGTTTTTTGGGTGTTGAGTTTGATAAGTTCTTTATAGATTTTGAATACTAACACTTTGTCTGATATGTCATTTGCATATATCTTCTCCCATTCCGTAGGCTGCCTTTTAGTTTTGTTGACTATTTCCTTTGCTGTGCAAAAGCTTTTTATCTTGATGAAGTCCCAATAGTTCATTTTTGCTTTTGCTTCTCTTGCCTCCAGCAGCGTGTCTAGTAAGAAGTTGCTAGGCCAAGGTCAAAGTGGATGCTGCCTGTATTCTCCTCTAGGATTCTGACAGTTTCCTGTCTCAACATTTAGGTCTTTCATCCATTTTGAATTTATTTTTGTGTATGGTGTAAGAAAGTGGTCCAGTTTCATTCTTATGCATGTTGCTGTCCAGTTTTCTTTCCCAACAGCGTTTGTTGAAGAGACTTTTTTCCACTGGATATCCTTTCCTGCTTTGTTGAATATTAGTTGACCATATACTTGTGAGTCCATTTCTGGGCTCTCTATTCTGTTCCATTGATCTATGTGTCTGTTTTTGTGCCAGTACCATACTGTCTTGATGACTACAGCTTTGTAATAGAGCTTAAAATCCAGAATCATGCCTCCAGTTATGTTTTTCTCTTTCAGAATTGCTTTGGCTATTTGGGGTCTTCTGTGGTTCCATACAAACATTAGGATTGTTTGTTCCAGCTCTGTGAAAAATCTGGTCGTATTTTGATAGGGATTACATTAAATGCATAGATTGCTTTGGGTAGTATGGACATTTTAACAGTGTTTGTTCTTCCAATCCATGAGTATGGAATGTTTTTCCATTTCTTTGTGTGCTCTTCAATTTCTTTCATAAGTGATCTCTAGTTTTCAGAGTACAGATCTTTTACCTCCTTAGTTAGGTTTATTCCTAGGTATCTTACTGTTTTTGGTGCAATTGCAAGTGAGAGCGATTCCTTGATTTCTTTTTCTGCTGCTTCATTATTGGTGTATAGACATGCAACAGATTTCTGCACATTGGTTTTATATCCTGCAACTTTGCTGAATTCATGTATTAGTTCTAGCAATGTTTTGGTGGTCTTTCAGGTTTTCTGCATATTGTATCATGTCGTCTGCACAGTAAAAGTTTGACTTCTTCCTTGCCATTTTGGAGCCTTTTATTTCTTTTTGTTGTGTGATTGCTGAGGCTAAGACTTCCAGTAGTATGTTAAATAGTACTAAGTTTTTACCTTTTAAACTTCTAGCCTTGAATCGCCAGTGTTTATTGCATATTAGGGACTATATATGTTTTGTTACTGACATTTATGTTTTTTTCTTCTAATTATCAGCCAACTTGATTCTGAAATGTAATAATTGAGACTATTTGCTTGGGTCCTTCATCAGTTGTTCTCTTAAATCCATGTTGTAGTAGCTAAGCAGCTGTAATCTCAATATGAAAATTTTAGGTTTTTGAAAGATAAGGAACCATAAAAAGCAATAACCGTAATTCTCTTATTGTATTTATACAGTTATTTCCACGTGAAGGGCTTGACCACTTAGGCCATTCCTTCTGTTTTTTCCCTAATGATATTTTCTCAATTCTGGTGTGAATTAGCAAAACAGTTTGGGGACTGAGACAGGCCCAGGGAGTTACTAGAGCTTCATAATTTTCAATTAATTGGAGTTTCTAGTATACTAGGAATACCTAGAACAGTGACATGATTGCTGTTGTCATTCCTAATGGAAGATGGAAATAATGACAGTACTCTTGGTAGCCAAGAAAATGGGATGAGTTTGTATCCTTTCCTCATTGTGTACTTACTGAGCCTTAGTTTTTGTGACTGTGGTCACAGTTCTCAGGCTTCATGTTACCTTTAAGTGTAAGATAAATTTTCTGCTAGATGACATTTCTTTTTCTCTTTCAGTTGAAGCTGTGAAGTCTGAAGTTGAGCCCTTCAATGACTCTACTCATATTTCTCTGCAAGAAGAAAATCAGTCTTCTGTCACTCGTTGCCTCCCTGACACTTCTACAATTACTGAAGAAGGTTTATTTAGCCAAAAGAGTTTCCTTGTTTTGGGGTTTAGTAATGAAAATGAATCTAATATTGCAAATATCATAAGAGAAAATGCTGGAAAAATCGTGTCCCTTCAGAGCAGAATTGTTGCTGATTATGCTGTGGTTCCGCTACTGGGGTGTGAAGTAGAAGCAACTGTGGGAGAAGTTGTCACAAATACGTGGCTGGTAAGAAAACCCTGTAGCAGTTGAAATGTAGTGTTGAAGGATATCAGGTGCTGAGAGTGTTAATATTTATTTCCTAAGCAATTCAGTTTAGGTAAATCGGTGTTTGAGCAAGGTTTAGATTTTGAGTTTAGCAAAGGGAATTGTAAGAGGAAAATATGCAAGTTTTCTTGGTCCCAGTCTTGGCAGAGTAGAGCTTATTGTTTCCCTGGGGCCACAGCAGCAGCATTCCTTCTTAAGATGTTACCCCAGGTCATCTCATACTATTTCAGTCCTCCTTGTTTTCTCACAACCAAAGCATAGGTGCACTTTTGTATTGTTCTTTTTTATTGGCTGAACACTGGTAATTTCACCATTTTTTTTTAACTTTCCAAGAGTTAAGAGGAAAATTTATAAACTAATACTTGGGGAGAAATTAAATTTACCATAATATTTAGTAAGTTAAATGATAAACCTGCCTGATCTTAATATCCTGTGTAATGAATTAATTTTTTTAATATAATGTGAAGTGTATTGAGAATGAGCATACACAAGGTTACTTTCAAGTAAAATCGCTTTTCATGTAAACTAAAATTACTGCTACTGTAACTAAACCAGTGTTAACCACTAGTTGCTTATTTCAGGTTGCTGTTCTTGTGTCTCTTGTTTTTAAAAGGTAACTTGTATAGACTATCAGACTTTAATTGATCCAAAGTCAAATCCTCTCTTCATGCCAGTCCCAGTAATGGCAGGAATGACTCCTTTAGAGGATTGTGTTATTTCATTCAGCCAGTGTGCAGGAGCAGAAAAAGATTCATTGACATTCTTAGCAAATCGCCTTGGAGCAAGGTATGTAGTATTTTTTGTGCACTTGCTATCATGGTGTACCTTTTGACTTATTGGTGAACATTCAAACTGGAATTGAGCTGGGTGTCTTTATAATGTTTATGGGTAGTGTGTCGTGTACCTGTGTGATGGCTCAGTACTACTAGATGGATACCTGGCAAAGGTTCAGACCATGGGCATTAGTGCTTACCTACCAGGAAAGGGAATATATAAAGCTGATACGAGGGCCGTTATTGAATATTGCACATCCAAGCATTATTCCCTTCCATGGGCCATACGGGAGATTTATTCTTTTTCAGTAATGAATACTTGGGAAGGAAAAATAAGTACTTGAAAATTGCTTCCAAAATTCAAATTAGCCCAACCCCTAAGTGAACCTTAAGTGGTAACTGTTTTAAAAGGAAGTAGAAAAGTTATATCAGTAAATGTAAATGAAATCAACTTTTATTTTAAAAAACAGTTCTTTTTTGGGGCGCCTGGGTGGCTCAGTCGTTAAGCGTCTGCCTTCGGCTCAGGTCATGATCCCAGGGTCCTGGGATCGAGCCCCGCATCGGGCTCTCTGCTCCACGGGAAGCCTGCTTCTCTCTCTCTCCCACTCCCCCTGCTTGTGTTCCCTCTCTCGCTGTGTCTCTCTCTGTCAAAGAAATAAATAAAATCTTTAAAAAATAATAAAATAAAATAAATAAAAAACTTCTTTTAGATTAGATCTTGAAGCAACACTTAAAATGACTTTAAAGAGACACACCTAAAACAAATTGATTCAGAATATCTGGGAAAAAAAAAGATGGGCAAAGGTATGTCAAAGAAATGCAAACAAAGGAAAGGAGGGGTTGCACTTCTAATGTCAGACAAGTTTGGATTCAAATGAAAAAGCATTAAGTAAGAAAAAGGAGAGCATTGTAAATAGCTATTCACACTGAAGTTAAAATATATATATGCCAAAAAGAACATGACTATCATCCATAAGACGAAAACATTAGGAGATACAAGGTGGAATCAACAGAAATACATTACTTGTAGGAGACTTTAATTTCCATCTTTTATTTCATAAGAGGTCACATAGAAAACAGGGAAGGATCTAGATTTCAATAGCATAGTCATCTACCCTGAAACAGAAAACATACCTTTTCAAGTGCCTGTAGAACACTTAGAAACATTGCCTATAAAGAAATTGGCCACAAAGAAAACCTCAGTAAATTCCCTGAAGTAGAAAGAGTACAGACCATACTCTCTAATCATGATGCAAAAAGACTAGAAATGAATAGTAAAAATAGAAAATGAAAAGACCTGGGGTGCCTGGGTGGCTCAGTTGGTTGAGCAGCTGCCTTTGGCTCAGGTCATGATCCCAGAGTCCTGGGATCGAGGCCCGCATCGGGCTCCCTGCTCAGCAGGGAGCCTGCTTCTCCCTTTCCCTCTGCCTGCCACTCTGCCTACTTGTGCTCTGTATCTCTCTGTCAAATAAATAAATAAAAAATATCTTTAAAAAAAAAATGTAAAGACCTTATAAACTGGACATTTTAGAACTATTTCATAACTCTTGGTTCCAAGAGGAATTCAAACCCATTTATAAGCCTAGAAATCATTATCAACAGTTCTTTACAATGGTAATAAGCAATCCCAGTGCCCAGATTGTGATCCAAAAATACCATTTCCTGCTAAAAGAAACTAAAATGTAAAGAAGTGATTAATTCCGGGGGCGCCTGGGTGGTTTAGCCCCTTAGGCATCTGCCTTTGGCTCAGGTCTTGATCCTAGTGTCCTGGGATCGAGCGCCACATCATGCTCCCTGCTCAGTGGGGAGCCTGCTTCTCCCTCTCCCTCTACCCCCCCCCCCCCCCCACTCATGCTCATCCTCACTTGCTCTCTCTGTCTCTCTGCACTCTCTCTCAAATAAATAAAGTCTTTAAAAAAAATTAATTCCAGGTCTGGGGCAGAAAAGGTATCAGTGAGTATGGAACATTTTGTCAGACCAGATAGCAAGAACTGCTAAGGAAGTTGTGTCAAAAGGACCACTGGACAAAGACAGGAAAATTTAAGTATCACTAAAGGGAATAATAGCAGTGGATCCAAACACATCAAATAATGTTTAAATCATGATTTCATAATGACTTCCAAACAAAGCTAATTGGTCATGTTTGAAAGATGCTGGGAAACCAGCCCATTATTTGAAAGCTGTCAGATAAAGTGAAAGGATCAAGTATTTATCCTGCCTTTCCTATGTAATCTGTATCAGAGTACCGTAATAATGGATAAGACAGTTTCTCTTTAAGAGGTATTCCAACAAATAAATGAAGAAGGATAGGGTTATAACTCCTGATGAATGAAAACACCTAGGCCCTGAAAATCAATAATCACATAATAAAAAGGAAAACAGACATTATATGCCTCCTGATGAAGAACACACTACCACCTTAAAGTGGCCTTACCAAAATGATAAAACCTCAATCTGATGAAGTTTCTAGATTCAACTACTGATTTATAAGAAATAGGAGAATAGGCTCTCTGCTCCTCCCTGTTCGACAGACAGCCGCATCTTCTGGTGCAGTGCCAGCCACGTCCCTGAGACACAATGGTGAAGGTCAGAGTGAACGGATTTGGCCATATTGGGTGCCTGATCACCAGGGCTGCTTTTAACTCTGGCAAAGTGGATGTTGTTGCCATCAATGACCCCTTCATTGACCTCAATTACATGGTCTACATTTTCCAGTATGATTCCACCCATGGCAAATTCCACGGCACAGTCAAGGCTGAGAATGGGAAGCTTGTCATCAGTGGAAAGTCCATCTCCCATCTTCCAGGAGCGAGATCCCGCCAGCATCAAATGGGGTGATGCTGGTGCTGAGTATGTTGTGGAGTCCACTGGGGTCTTCACCACCATGGAGAAGGCTGGGGCTCACTTGAAGGGCAGGGCCAAGAGGGTCATCATCTCTGCTCCTTCTGCCAGTGCCCCCATGTTCATGATGGGTGTGAACCATGAGAAGTATGACAACTCCCTCGAGATTGTCAGCACTGCCTCCTGCACCACCAACTGCTTGGCTCCTCTGGCCAAGGTCATCCATGACAACTTCGGCATTGTGGAGGGACTCATGACCACCATCCATGCCACCACTGCCACCCAGAAGACCGTGGACGTCCCCTCTGGGAAGCTGTGGCGCGACGGCCGAGGGGCTGCCCAGAACATCATCCCTGCTTCTACTGGCACTGCCAAGGCTGTGGGCAAGGTCATCCCTGAGCTGAACGGGAAGCTCACTGGTATGGCCTTCCGTGTCCCCACCCTCAACGTGTCCGTCGTGGATCTGACCTGTTGCCTGGAGAAAGCTGCCAAATACAACGACATCAAGAAGGTGTGAAGCAGGCATCAGAGGGCCCCCTCAAGGGCATCCTGGGGTACACTGAGGACCAGGTTGTCTCCTGCGACTTTAACAGTGACACCCACTCCTCCACCTTCGATGCCGGGGCTGGCATTGCTTTCAACAACCACTTTGTCAAGCTCATTTCCTGGTATGACAATGAATTTGGCTACAGCAACCGGGTGGTGGACCTTATGGTCTACATGGCCTCCAAGGAGTAAGAGCCCCCTGGACCACCAGCCCCAGCGAGAGCAAGAGGAAGAGAGAGGCCCTCAGCTGCTGGGGAGTCCCTGCCCCAACTTATCCCCCAAAACACTGAGAATCTCCCGAGCTCCACCATTTCCATCCCAGACCCCCCTGAAGAAGGGGAGGTCATCAATAAAGTATACTGTACCCAGCCAAAAAAAAAAAAAAAAAAGAAATAGAATAACATGTTAAACTATAGCACAGAAATGCAGTTAGCAAAATCCAGACTCTGAGATAACTTTGTTACAAATAATGCAGTGTCTTCAACAAATATGTATTAAGGGGAAAGGGAAAGAGGACGGAGCCTATAAGCTAAAAGACAAAAAAAAAAAACCTGTAGTTTTTAAAAATGCGCTACGTGATAAAACTAAAGAAAGGTAAGGAAGTGATTGCCACAAATATCCATATAGTGGCTACTACTAAGAAGGGAGGTATGGAGAGGTTGTAATTGGGCAAGGGACACATTGGAGAGGTTCTGGAGTAGCTGGCAAGATTCTGTCATCTGATGTAGGTAGTAGATACAAGGGTTTTCACTTAATAATAATTCACTAAATTTTGTATTTCCTTTTTCACTGTCTTCTGTATTTGAATTATACTAAACAATAAAAAGCTTTTTGAAAAAAACTAAAGTTGCAGAAAATCTAGAAAGTAACAATAGCAAAAGTATGACACCCAAGTTCCAGGGGTTAAACTAAAGCAGTGCTTGGAGAAAAATTTAGTGAAGTAGCTGTTAATAAATATCAATAAAGTGGCCAATTAATATCCAGAAATCATTGACCTTCATACAACCAGTTAGAAAAGCTAATGAAAAGTAAGTTTGCAATGAGAGATAAAATACTTACCAACAGGTTTAACATGAAACTTGGAAGAGCTACAGAAGCTTATAAAATGCTATTAAGGGAACAGTAGAAAAGATATCCATGTTCTTGGAAAGAAGATTATAAAGAAGTTTCTATTGTTCAGTCCCCTACATTAATGTATAAATTAAACATCCCAGTTAAAATGCCATCCAAATTTTTTAAGGAGGGCAATAAGCAAACAATTCTTGAATTCATAAGAAAAGGTTAGCAAGCAGGAAAGTCATGAAAATTCCGAAATAGAATAGTTATTTAAATATACTTTGTAAAACCTCACTAAATAATAGTGTGGCTTTAATAAGTTGCAGAAAGTTCAGTGAACGAGCAGAAAGTCTAGAAATAGACCAAATACAAACAGGAATTTAGTGTATGATAAAAATGATATTCTGGGGTGCCTTGGGTGGTGAATCAGTTAAGCATCTCCCTTCGGCTCAGGTCATAATCTCAGGGTCCTGGGATCAAGCCCCACATGGGGCTCCCTGCTCAGTGGGGAGTCTGCCTCTCCCTCTCCCCCTCCCCCCTGCTCATGCTCTCTCTCTCTCAAATAAATAAATAAAATCTTCATTAAAAAAAAAAAGTGATATTCCAAGGCATTGAAGAAGAGAGATGGCTTATTCAGTAAATAGGATTCAATAAAGTTAGAGCCACATCTCATACCAAAATAAGTACCAAATGGATCTATGAGTTAAATGTGAAAAATGAAACCATGAAAGTGCTAGGAAAAATGTGGGAGATTTAAAGAATCTTAAAAGTGGGAACTAGAGCATAAAACCCAGAAGCTGTTTTAAAAAAAAAATTCTGGGGCGCCTGGGTGGCTCAGTTGGTTAAGCGACTCCTTCGGCTCAGGTCATGATCCTGGAGTCCCGGGATCGAGTCCCGCATCGGGCTCCCTGCTTGGCAGGGAGTCTGCTTCTCCCTCTGACCTTCCCCCTTCTCATGTGCTCTCTCTCAAATAAATAAATAAAATCTTAAAAAAAAAAAAAATTCTGTTTATATGTCAAGTGGTGGACTTCTCTTTTCTGTTCCCATGTTCTCTGTGTTTAATAAATATTCTGTGATTTTGAACAAGTCACTTAATTGTATCTTTTCCCAGGTTGTATCTTTACAGTTGTAAAAGGGACACCTGGGTGGCTCAGTCACTTAAGCGTCTGCCTTGGGCTCAGGTCATGATCTTGTGGTCCTGGGATTGAGCCCTGCATCGGGCTCTCTGTTCAGTGGGGAGTCTGCTTCTCCCTCTGCCTCCTCTGCCTGCCGCTCCCCCGTTTGTGCGCACAGACGTGCACATGCTCTCTCTCTCTCTCTCTGACAAATAAATAAACTCTTCAAAAAAAACCAAAAAACAATATTTTGTAAAATAGTGCTATTTCACAAATATTAAGGGTATCAAATGAGATTATGTCTGAAAATGCTTTGGGAAGACATAGTGGGCTAGAAAGATACAGTGTGTTATTCATACCTTTTCTGTGCTCCCTGACTATTCCATGCCTCCTTTTGGGAAGAAGGGCCAAGGTGGGTAGGTGATGACTAATTAAGGAGGTAATTTTCCTGGTTAGTTCTTGAAAGTCTATTTAATTTGCTTATGTTTTTATAAAAAGTTTTACTGTAGCAATACATTTTTATCTTTGAGTAAGCATTTGTAAGAGGATTCGAAACATCAACTTTTTATCAGCGAGTATTATATGTAGAACTCTAACAACAGCTGTATTAGAAATTTCCTTCTTAGCTTGCTCACTAGTTGTGTATATGACCATTTGCTTTTATTTAAATATAATTTTCAGTGTTCAGGAATTCTTTGTTCGCAAATCCAATGCAAAGAAAGGCATGTTTGCCAGTACGCATCTTGTACTGAAAGAACCAGGTGGATCTAAATATGAAGCTGCCAAGAAGTGGAATTTACCAGCAGTCACCATATCTTGGTTGTTGGAGACTGCTAGAATGGGAAAGAGAGCAAATGAAAGCCATTTTCTGATTGAAAAGTCAACTAAAGAAGGTTAATACTTTTATTTTGTTCTTTTATATGTATTTTTACAATTTTATGGTTTCTGGAATATGAATGTGTCAAAGCTTGTTTTTAGAAAAGTTCACTGATTTCTGCTTTTCACATTGAGTGTCGTGCACCACTGTTGAGCATTCCTTATTGGGTGGCAAAATAAACGTGTTCAAAGCAGATACTTAATTTGTACCTGTTCTCTACTGCAGGCACTGTCTGAAAGCTGGAAGATACAAAATAATCTAGAAGCATCCTGGGGTCTCAGTGTTTGAAGTCTTAAGATGTGGGCTAGGATCCCATTTATTGTTCCTTCTGTGGCTCACACGGACATACCGTGTCAATTATGTGTTCTCTCTTCCTCTCATCTTTGGACTTCTGTGCCTTTTTGCTAGCCCACCTCATGCTTGCCTCTTTGTCCTTATCTTTCAGTTCTCAGTTTGGATATCACTTTCTCTAGGAAGCCTTCCTTGACCCACCAACTATAGCCTTTGTCTTGCCGAAACTCCCTGCATTATCCCCTTTAAACCTTTGATCCCAGTGGTGTAATTCTAGTTTGCTTTCACATCTCCCTACTCAGTTACAGGCTCTGAAAGGGCAAAGAATTTGCATGTTTTGGGTGTTATGTATTTCCATTGTCTAGCATTGGATCTGGCATGGCATAGCCATCTATTAAGTGTTTTTGTTAAATGTTCAAAAAAGGCTGGTGGGAGGACACAGTACCCCCTCTTCTAAGATGATGGCATCCCTAGGCAAACTTAAGGGACAAGTCAGTAGCTTGGGAACAGCTCTCAGAGCCATTATTGCTTACCCAAACAGACTGGAAATTTTACAACTGAGGCAAAGTGACATTTAGGTCATGTTAAAATTTCACTAAGAACTTTTTAAAAACTTCACTGTAGTTGTTAACTCATAGTACATGTAATTGGGTTGTTTTTTTTTTAACTGCTGTTGACTGAGATGACACTTACATAATATTTGGCAAATCGTGAGGTTTATTAAAAATATTTCAAGCTACAATATGAAATAGGAAGTCTGATTTCATTAATTGTTTCAGTTGATATGCTTTGTCTAACTCAACATGTATTTTAATACATCATTTGGTTTGTTTCTTGGAAAGTAAGTGTATAACTTTGTGATTTAAAATGTACTTGAGAATTCACATAAAACTAACAGTATGATATAAAAGTATCACTTTGTGTATGCCTCTTTAGAGATAAAAGATGACCTTAGTGGCTCACATTTGTTTCTTTTCATTTTAAATCTCTAGAACAAAGTTTGGAAACTGAAATAACAAACAGGGTGAACCTAAATCCAGATACTCCGGAGCATCCTGTTGCACACCTGGAAACTCACAGGAAAACAGCTGTTACACCTTTAGATATGAACTGCTTTCAGAGTAAAGCTTTCCATGCTGTGATCTCACAACACACCAGACAGGTTTCAGTCTCCCCACCAGTGGGACAGCCACTTCAGAAGGAGCCCTCCTTACATCTGGATACACCATCAAAATTTCTGTCCAAGGACAAACTCTTCAAGCCTTCCTTTGATGTGAAGGTAGGGTTTATAGAAAATGGTCCTGGAGTTAACAATAACAATTTATAGTATATTAAAGTTAAAGCTCCAAATTCTGCATCACCTCTAAAGTTTGTGGTAGTAAGTTTTCCAGAGATATTGGCAGGTAGATTCATATCATTGTGTTCCATCATATACTTAGGGTTGAGATAACAGCTGGAGATAAAATGGTGTGAAATCAGGACTGGGTTCAAGTCCTAGATCACGAACACTATGACTCTAGACAGATCATTTAACATATCCAAGCACAGGCTTTTTCTTTTGTACAAAGAGGGTATCACTTGCTCTGAAAACTCAGATTATTTTAAGGATCAATGAAATGGTGTGATGAAATAATTTTATAAACTACGATATAAACCCATTGCTACTTATATTTTGATTCTAGCAGTACACTCAGTGCTTTGTCTCCAAAAATGTGTCTATTATAATCACCTTATTTTGCAGTCATTTCCCTTGAAAAGATGGGTTGTCTGCATCTTTGTTTGATCTCCTGAGCACTGGAGGATGGCTCCTTTTCTGAGAAATTCATTCACAGATCAAGAGCTTATTTGTCAATAAATGGTTTCCTCTTATTCCCCAAAAATGATTTTCTTCACTATTCCATTCGTAGCTGTTGGCCTTTCAAATGGCTATTGAAATCATTGTTTATGATTTTTTATCCATGAGCCTTTGCACAATTACTGTACTAATCATCTATTGGAGTTCTGCTGATAGGGTATTAAGAAGCAACATTCTGGGCACCTGGGTGGCTCAGTCGGTTAA